TCACAAGGTATCATTCACAAGAGACAAAGCTCAATCCAGGAATAAACTGGAGAGAAAATAGTCAAACAAGACTCCACCCAATGAGGAAACAACTCAAATAGGGATTTATCCTATCCAGAGATGGAAAAGGAAAGCTAAAGCAAGATTCTTCCACGAGAGTTAACTCAGTGGGGAATTAGAAAAAAGGCACACTTTCTGCTTAAGTTGACACTCTATTTGGAGAGATCAAATACGCTATTTGAATAGACATAACCAAGGTATACGTACTCAAAGACATCATCAAATACAACTGTGCATGCATGATGCAAGTGTGAATGAATAAATGAATGTCATGTATATGCTGACAAAACAGACAGGGGAGATAGACAGAAAATGATAAGACATCACAGTACAACTCGACACTCAGCTAATCTCAACAGGATGGTAACATTACTGGAGATAGACAACAAAAGCCATCATTGGAGCAAAGTCCTTTTACAAGGCTTAAATATCTATGGAGGGAAAGATATTTTCAGGTAGAAAACCCAAAGTCCAGTCTTCTATTGCAAACAATCCATTGAAAGGATAACAACACGAACAAAGTTTCAGCTGGAAAAAAGTCTTGCTTAACTGGAGATACTGGGAACACCACCCTCTGATAATGTGTGCAATACATATCACATATCTTGACAAATCTGGATTGCCCCTGGGACTAATTTTGGATGCCCCAAGTTTACTGTTGATAAGCTGGGTGTTGCACGACAATTCTTGCAAATAACTTCACTTCTAAAATGCCCCAAGCTATATGGCTGATGAGGAGAAATCGTCTCAAGAGGATTTTACAAAAGACCTGGCATCCACCATGCTCTGGTGTCTTCAAACTCTTAGAGAGATTCATCGAATCTCGACGTGATTGCCCCGAATTGACTGTAGTTGTCACAACAAAGTCTTCAAATTTTGCCCCAAAGGGTAAACAAGTTGGGAAAGCATTAACTGGGAGAAGCAACATGTTCGTGCTTACGGTCTTCAGGTGACATGCCTCTGGATATGATTTTTTTGAAATGATTCGCCAATTGCTCAACATAGTTTCAGGCCTTAAAAGAATAAACTCATCGCTAGTGCTTATATGTGAGCTTCCTTAATATCAAACAAACGTTTTGCAGTTAGAAAATTTTATTATGAGAATGAAAATTCTAATGCAACAGTTATGTAAGTCTTGAAGATTTTGAAAAGATATCGCACAAATGTTGCGAGTTAGAGCACCATTTATTTTTGTAGAGGAAAAACATATGATACCAACATAACTATTTAGAACATTCATGGGAGTCAGGAACACTATCTCATTGAAGTATGCTTTCAAAATAACCTTGCTTCAATTAGGACTTTTGAAGGTTGTAACGTGGTCTGGTTCATGGTTTTTAGAAAAAAAGATTTTAAGGCTCAAAATATTTGGTTCCCACCCACTTCATGATGTTCTCCAATCCTATGTTCAGTTAATTCAACATGAGCGTTCATCTCTCAAAAGGATTTTGTGACGGTCAAGGAAACGACGAGGCTTTCGGAGTAGAAACCACCCTCATGTCTTCGTGTTTGTAGTCACCAATTTGTTCTTTGCTGAGGACTTTTCTTTGTAGTCCTTTCTTTGCAATTTTTATTTTCCCTAATTTTTGCCTGAACTAATTTTTTGAATTGATAGTCCAGCGGGATGCCTTAATTTTGCCTAAGTCACACGTTTTTATGTTTTTTTTTTACTTAGCAGGCTTTTCTTTTTCTTGATTTTTGACTTTTTGAACAAAATGTGTGACATTAGCTTGTCTTTGCTTGTTGAGAGGATTGTGATTGCCTCGTTTCTTGATGAATGAGGGATAACATTGTGGTTCCACATCCTCTAGATTCATTATACATGAAGGATAGCCCTCGTAGTTTCTCTTCAAAAAACATCTTCCTTATGAATTTTGAACACTCAGTCAGATTAACTAAAAACTACCCTGCCCCAGGTTAAAATTCAAGGTTTTTTTGTATAGAAAAGAAACTTCTTCTTCAAAGGCTCAAAAGGGGTTAGCAAGGGATTATCTTCCTTATATCTCCGGTGTTTAGGGATTTGAAACAATGCCTGTACATCATCAGCAAGATTTTATCCAAAAGCAAATAACCAGAGATTTTGTGTTCTTTAGATCATCATCCTCCCTTCAATCTCTGCCTAGGCAAGAGAATGAGCAACAATTTGGTATCATAGTGCAAAAACAATTTAAAATTTGAAAACAAATATGAGTGAAACGAATGAATTTCTTCAAGACAAACATGTTCATTGTATTAAGATAATCATTCAGATTCCAACAAGTTCTTACATGCAAACAATATTTTGATAAACAAGAAAAATTACAAAAAGCATAAATAAGTTAATAATCTGGGAAGGCTTTCCCTCTGGACTTGAATTACCAAAAACATCCTTCAAAACTCAAAGTGACCATCAATCGTGTTTACTCTTCGGCGCATGCTTGATTTGAACTTCAAAACCAACGTCCTTGAATGACAAGATACCACTTCTGACCAACTTCTGAACCTCAATATTCAAAGTAAAGCAACCCTCCAAGTCATGCCCAGGAGCACCTTGATGAAAAGTACAAGCCAAAACAGCTTTGCAGTACCCATGTTTCTTCTCAGGAACCTTCGGTGGAGGTCGGGTCTGAACCAAATTCCTCTGCATCAGGATAGGGAACAACTCTGTATAGGTGATTGGAATTGGATCAAATTAAGTTTTCCTCTGATTAGGAATTTTCTAATGATGTTGATAAATGGGAGAAACATGATGATTCTGATGATGATTATTTCTTCCTCTGGTTCTCTTCTTGGAAAAGTCATTATCAACTTCTTCACACCATTAGCTGAGCTACCATCTTCATATAAACATCCCTTTCAGACATCTTCTTCTAGACGCACTCCCACATTCACCTTGTCAGGAAAGTCATTAGGTGCATTAACCACCACCTTCTCATGAGAGAATGATTTTAGAGTTTCAGTGAAGACTTTTATCAACGCTTCCTCCCTCCTAGAAGGATTGACTTGGGCGGCAACCAGAATTTCAACCAAACCAGTTAAGTGCTCCATACTAGCTTTCAAATTAGTCATCTCTCTACGGAGTTCAGAAATCTCTTGCTTGATATTCTCCATTGTTCTCTTAGCGTCAGTGTTGTACTGGTGAGACCAAAAGAAAAATAAGACTTGGAAAAAGACCTTTGAAAGTGAAACAAAAAATGTAGGATGATGCATGATATGCAAAAGAGAGTTTTTATTTGATTTTCAAGGAACTCAAGATATTAAGTTGTAAACATCAAAGTATGAAGATAGAAGATGAATTTTAAATTGGCTCCAAACATTTATCAAGTTATCATCAAGATCAATCATCCATTTTGGTGGATTAGGGTTTTCGCCCTATCAACACCCAAGATCCATTGAGCTTGACGAAACTTGTGATGTTTACAAAGAAATACCTCCAAATTCCTTCAAAGTCAAGTGAAAAGGGTTTTATGGATGCATGAATGCATGGCTATGCAACAACCACAAGCAAGGTCACAAATAAAGTCGAAAGGCTCAACGTCACGAGCATGGAGTCAAGGTAAGGAACACCCCCAAGGTATACTAACGGTTTAATCACACCTGTAGAACAAGGTTCTAAGAGTTCCCGGAGTCTACATTCCTCCTTCGGATATTACCAACGTCTTGATTACTCAATAATCAGCAATATTCTCAAGAGAAACTCATACGAGCGTAGCATCGCGTAACAATTACTTCCGGATTAATCCGTTATAATCTCCGCGCTACACCTAAAAGGCCAAGATGGGTTAGGGTTCTACGGTTCCCAGCTTCTCTGGCTCCTAGGTCGAAAATAATAATGTCTTCCCGATTACTCGGTAAACAAATATTACGTTCAAAAGGGCCTTCCACTGAGTGGGGGATCTCATGCCTCCTTCTTCGGGATTACTCCCTCAAAGTTAACATGACTATACCGCCCGTCCTATTCCTAAGTGTAACTTAGTCCGGGTATAGGACTTGTCCTTTGTAAATATTATCAACACCCAAATAATCATAATATATACATATAATCAAACAATCAAATAATGATAAAACAGATAAAACAAATTAGGCTTAACCCACTTAGGGATGGACCAGCAAGAGGTCAATCTTTCCCCAGCAGAGTCGCCAATTCTGTAGCGGTGAAAATCGGAGATCAAGCTATTAATTAACTTGACTCACAAAAAGCAAGAGTCGCCACCGCGCTTTATTATTTCCAAGGGAAAAGGGAAAAGAGCGAAATAAAACCCTAAAATATGCAATGTAAAATAATACTTAAAAGTAATAGAAATACAATGCGTTTTTTGAAAGAGATCGAAAGTTCGGGGGTTGGTTGTACAATGGGAAGGTATTAGCACCCAATGCATCTGCGGTACTCCGCAGGAACCTTTTGAAATATCTGTTTTTTGGTTAAAATTGTTTGTTTGATTAAAATGATTCGTTTGGCTAAAAATCGGTGTTGGAGAGGTTTTGAAGAGACAGCGACCCAATGTCGAAGTTTTGACTTAAAAGGTGTGAGTTTAAAAATTGAATCTTTTTGGGAAAATTATCTTAGGTTTAACAAAATAGTAACAAACAAAAGATGAATGAGGGTATTCGCACGATTCGATGAGATGTGTTTGATAACATGAAGTCAACAAATTTAAATCTTTTCCTTGGAGTTAAAACCACAGACAGATAAATAAGCTAAGAGTATATCAAACCTCAGGTGAAAATAAATCACAAGCCGACAGCGTCAAAAAAACCAGATGTAAGATAATACTCCCAGCAGCGAATAAAGCGCAATGAACCACAAGCGAGAAGTGCAAAGCGTGAAAATAAATCACAGAAGAAAGAAATCGTAGATGACGCTCACGGTATAAGATTCCCGACTAATATAACACTTATTTCTTCTTCTTAGTAGGTGGTTAAAGAGCCGCCAGTTTAAAAAAACGCCAAAATAGTATGATCTACAGTTGTCCACAATCGGCGATCACAACAGGCTTAGAGGTCTTGCCAGAGCCAGATCCAACCTTCTCAATATCCCTCACAACGTTCAATCCATCGACAACCTGACCGAACACGACGTGTTTCCCGTCGAGCCAGTCAGTCTTGGCAGTGCAGATGAAGAACTGAGATCTATTGGTTCCGGGTCCATCGTTCGCCATGGATAAGATTCCTGGACCGGTGTGCTTCTTGATGAAGTTCTCGTCAGCGAACTTGGAACCGTAGATCGATTCTCCTCCAGTGCCGTTTCCGGCGGTGAAGTCACCTCCATGGCACATGAAGTTAGGGGTCACACGGTGGAAGGAGGAAGATTGAGGAAAAGACGGAAAGGAGATGATTTGGTGATGGAGGTTTTTAGGCGAAGAGATGAGGGAGGAGAAGCTTCAGTGATGCCATGGGAGGGGGTAACGAGTAGCGTCAAGTGTGAGAGTGAGGAACATGAAAGTGGAGAGAGAGTGAGGAAAACCAGTGACAGTGGCGAATGGCAAAGAGAGAGTGTGTGTGTGTGAACAGAGTTTAAGTGTTTGAGTTATGAGAGATGTTGGTTGTGATGATGTAGTTTGTATGCAGCTTGTGGAAAGGAGGATGGTGTGGAGTTGATAGTGGACATGGTTGACACACACTCTATGCAGAGATCCAGGGTTTTAAGTTACAAATGTGGTTCAGAAAGGATTGGAGAGAGTGGTCCTCACATTGATCTCACGGTCACGGCAACAAGGCATGCATGCCAACATATAACATATGGATAGAAAAAAAATGAGACATCAAACTGTATCAAAATAATAAATCGAGCATACCGTCATAATCTACGTGAAACACGGATTCATAAAAATGATCAGTAAAAGGTGAAAACTTGAAATATTTTTCTCGCTATTTTTTCGCACAATATCGAATCGCTTTTAACAGTCTGTCTATAAAACTGAAATATTTTTATTATCGACATATAAACAACTTGGAGCAATGCAAGAAAATAGTAAACAGATAAAAATGAATGAAGTGAAATGTCGGGTATTTTAGAACTGAAAGACGATGCAAACTTTGATTTAAACTGACTTTTTCTGGTCAACTTAAATACGACTAATGATGCAAAATGTGATGAATGAAGATATTTACTAATGATTGTGACCAAATGACAGAATATGGTATGAATGTGCGACTGAAAAAATTAAGGGCGAAATTAAGGGTGCAACGGTGTGCCTTAATGAATCAGTCTTCGAGAATCCACAATCAACCGTACTTCTGGCTTGGGAGACTCAAAACCTTAATCGAGGCGCGACACCTGATGCTCAGACCTGTCTCTGCACATGACACAAAAGAAAACATGAACATACACCTCTGTATGCGATTAGAAATTAGTGATACATATGCTAAAAATGTTCAAAACACTTGACAATCTTCGCATAGTCAAAGCTCGAAGGTGAGAGGTTAAAACCAACCGTATTTCGTGACCTTGGCTTATGTTTAAAAATGCAAAAATAAATATGGGATCTTAGGTCAAAAATTGGGGTACAACAGCAGTTGTTGTGTTTGACTGTGCTTTGCTTTGGATTTTTGGAAGCGCCAAGTTTAATTGATCAATGCCGAAACAATGTTTATTTAATTATTTATTATTCTGAATTTAAATGATTGGAATTTATTTTCCATTATTATAATTTAAAGAATTTTAAATAATAAATAAACAATTGGAGAAGAAAAGAATTAATCAAATAAAAGGACTTTTTATTTATCTTTAAATTATTTGTATAATTGTTTTTGTTTACAAAATGTTTACAATAATATTATTACATTTATTTAAATTTAAATAAAACTATCCTAATATTTTTCTAAATCTTCAATTCTTCATCTTCTATCCCTTGCTCCCTCTGCCTCATTGGATTCTATCTGCAAAGAATAAGAAAGAAGAAAAGTCAGAAGCAGAAAGATATTTAAAGAGACAGACAAATAAAAAGTTCATCATTAAAAGCAAACGGCCGGAATCAGTTTTACCCTCTCTGCAAATCACGGGATTTCTCCCGGTTCACAAAGAGGGATGAAAATGTTTTCAAATTAAAAATGAATGCACAAGTATTGAAATGCACAAATTCAAATTTTGTCAAAACCAACTGCATAGTTCAAAACCAACTGCATAGTTCAAAGCAAGACAGCATGTGCAAATACAAAGTCACAATTTCAAAACTAAGTCCAAAGTCAACAAGCTGCCAAAAGATATCTCAAGATATCAAAATACCCAAGATGCCAAAACTGTAACAAAGATGCAGGAGAGCTGAAGAAGGAAAGTATGCAGAGGAAAAGTGTTTTGCAAGCAAAATTTCAGTTTCATCATTTCCCATGCCAGTTTGCTTTTTCAGAATAAGTACATACAACATTATTTAAATGTTTTAACTGTACTAGAGAGAGAAAGAAAGAGAGAGAAGAAGTTGGGCTTACGGGTTTAGGCTTGAGGCATAGAAAAGATATAAAACAATCTGCCAATGAAACAGTAAAGGGGGGAATATCACAAAAGAAAAATATAGAACTACCAAGTCCCAAAAACCTGTATTGACCTCCAAAAAATATCAAAGCCATTAACCTGCATCAACACCTAAGCCTTAAACTGTTGCAACAAAAACACAAAACGGCACAAGTCATCAAGCCTAAAGCCTGAAAGCATCAAGCCAAAACATTCAAACCTTAACCCCTGTCAAAAAGCACAAATCTGCATAAGCCATCACCAATAAACATCAAACCTGAACCATCAAAAACCCATAGCACAAAAAGCCTTAACCCTGTCAAACTTAAGGCCATCAACCTGTCAAACCTGAAAACCAGTAAGCCAAAGCCATATCCAAAACAAACAAACCTTAAACTTGTCTAACTTATCCAACAGAAACTCACAAATCATCCTCAACCTGAAAACCAGGCCAAAACCAGTATTCAAGCATACAGCGTCAAGAGCCTAACCAACACAAAAAACCCTCAGAACTGTGTTCATCACAGGGACTAACATACCAAGCATACTGGAGCATACAACAAGCCAACATTCAGAAGAGGAAAGCTAGTCAAAAGCCAGTGTTTCAACAATATCATTCAAAAGCAGCACATAGGAGCCCTCATAGTGTCCTCATCATTGGGCTAGTAAGCAAACATACAAAGCAAATGTCAAGACATACAGAATATCTCAGTAAACCATCATTGAAGGCAACTCAGCAAGCAAATATACTCAGAAGCATATCATCATACAAGAAAAGGCAACAGAAGTGTTCAAAGAGGAAAAGAAGCGAGCGTTTCAAAAGCAACAGAAGTGAAGGGCAAACAGAAGAAGAAGATAAAGAGGTGTTCTCAAACATCATCATCGAACCAACACTCAAAAAGGCAAAAGATATACAGAATACCAGGGTTTCCAAGCAAAGCGCACATCATCACCAAACCTCGCCCTGTCCACCCTAGGCGCCTCCAACTCTCTCCTCCATTTTCCAAAGACAACGAAGGTATAAATTTTCCACCTTTTTCCTTCACACCTCATATAACAGTAATCATGTTCAGAGATTAGGAATTTATCAAAGATTAAAAAATGCACGAATTGGAAACCCTAAAACATAAACTGTAAGTTCATTACCTTTGCAAACATCGCCCAGACATGACCATGGGAAAGGAGAGAGGATAGCGCCTGGTACAAGGACGAAGGATTTTGGCTCAGAATCCACGGCATGGGAACGAACGAAGAAGACGAAGTGATGAAAGAACGACAATGGCGCCGTAACTCACGAACCCAAACCCTAATCCTCTTTCTGAAACAAAAATCAAAGAACCCTAAAAACGTTGTGAAGCATTGCCTTGGGCCTTACCCTTTCCATCCTAAAGCCCGCGCGTACCCCCCTTTTTTTATGTTCTGATCAATCTTCACATGGACTAAAGCAAAACCCTACAGGCCCATTTGCTATTTTTTGATTCATCTTCTTTTATTCATTTTTTTTCTATTTTATTCAAAACTAAATATTTTTGGTTATTCTCTTTTTTTTCATATAATGCTATGTATTTTGTAAATAAAATAACACTTTTTTTTAAAATATTATTAATTGTTATATTTTAGAAAAAAATACAAACATTAACCTTTTTCTTAAAATTTGAAATATTTTTCTTTTCTTTTTATACATAAAAAAGGATTAAATTTAAATACATTGATTTGTACATATTAAAGAAAAATACAAGATTACAAATTAAATAAAGAAAACATCTAATTCTTTTCATTAAGTAAACAACACTTAAAAATACATTTAAATTCATATCTCGCGCTTGTAAATAATTCTCATACACTTACACTTACACTTACACAATACATTTCCTATTTGATACATTATACATTTGATATTCTTACACTTTGCTATACATTACATTGATTACATTTGATCGCAATTCGATTTGGTTGTAATTATTTAAGTCTCATCCCCATTTGTGAATTTGTACCCCCACTCCCGGATACCATTTGTAATAGCGTAGACTTTAAAATTCCCGCAATTTACCGCTTTCGAATTATACCATGGTTAGACCTAGGGTTTGTATGTACATAAAATCGAACGCTAGATAACCTAATACAAAGACAAGTGCATGAAATCAATACACAATCACACTTGCACCCCCTAGGATAATCCCACATGTTGCCTTCCAAAATGGGCCATGCTTGCACGTCGAGTTTCTTTGGCAAAACAAATTCAAATGATCATAAGTCCCTCGATGACGCTTTCGAAAGTTGCCTAAACGGAATGATCATAGTCCCTTCAAGCAAATTGCCAAAGACACTTGGCACCATTGCATTCATGGTCCGTACGATGACCCGCGCATGTCCCAATCACATCCTAAATGCAAGATTGTCCACCAAATTCAATGGTGGAACAAAATTGTTAAAAAGGGTTAAAAACATAGAGAAAACCTTTGAGTACAATAGGGGTAGACCAAACTCTTAGTTACTTGAGATCAACTTTCAAAAACACTTGCCTCATTTTCAAACCACACTCCACAAACACTTTCAAAACAAACTCTCAAACAAAAAAACATTTGAAACATCTTTTCAAAAAGATACACACTTTTGTAAAACACTCAAACACGAGTCAATTACATTGGTTGCCGAAACAAAGGCGTCTATTCCAAAACATTTTCAAAACACACACATACACCATAATTTCAAGCAATCAAAAATCAAGGCAAGTGATCTAAAAACCAAGTAACTAAGAGCCCATGGATAACCATGGATGAAAAGGGTGCTAATACCCCCCGAACCCACGAAACATCTCAAAAAGGTTTT